AGAGGTGTCAGAAAAGTTACCACAGGGATAACTGGCTTGTGGCAGCCAAGCGTTCATAGCGACGTTGCTTTTTGATCCTTCGATGTCGGCTCTTCCTATCATTGTGAAGCCCTCCATTTTCAGGACCTCATTGTTTCGACCTGCCCCTAAGACTCAGGCACGTAAACATAGATGCGGAACAGGCCAAAAATAGCCTGTTCCTCACCAGTTTGAGCGGGAGCTGCAGCTGCAGCCCCTGCCTCCCTTCGGCTGGCTCAGGAGGCACACCCGTAGTACATAGGAAGTTCCCATGCACTTCACAGGTAGGTAGTGTCAGTAGGCAGTGGTAGTCTTCAGGATTCGGCCGCAGCACTCAGGAGGAGCGCTGCAGTAGTCTCCAGCGCTGAGTAGTAGTAGCGCTAGCTGTAGTCTTCGGCGCTGGGCGCCATAGCTGTAGTTGTAGTCTTCAGCGCTGGGCGCTGGTAGGTGGTAGATCGTAGAGTGGGAGAGAGACTGGCGGAGGCCAGCATTACTTACCTGTGGCGCCATCGCTCCAGCTCCATCTTCGTGGTACCTGCATCAAGGCGCCAACTTCACAGGTTAGTACTGGACAAAGAGAGAGAGAGTTCTTCTTCTTCCTCTTCTAAGTCCACCTTCTCTTCTCACCCTCACGCCACCTGACTTCTCAGACTACAACAGAGAGAGACAGAGTTGTGACTTGAGACTTGACGACATTGGATCCAGACTTGACATTTGGGATTCAGACATTCCGACGACGGACTATTTGGGCTTGTGCCGAAGACTTGGTGTTGACGACATTCCCATCTTCCCCCTCCTCTTCGTTTATCCCTTTCCTCTTCGTCTGTGTATGGTACGGGCTGGCGCTGTCTTCCTGTGTGAAGCGCCAGGCCCATTCACACCATGGAAAGATGATGATGATGTATGTTCAGGGCTGCATTACAACATTGATTGTTCGGATCACTGGTATCTAAGTCTTCCGTTGTGCTATCTTATACTTTGTATTGAAAGGTCGGTTATTGTTCTGGTCTGCACGTTACAGTATGCAACAGTGACTCTGAGGTCCTTTGCTGGTTTTTCGATTGTGAGTCTGCAAGTTCCGTGCTGAGTTTGGACTATGCCCGGGTCTCTCGAGTTTGCCGGCTAGAATCATCGCTGAACAAAATTTTCAGACTCAAATCACTGAAATGGCTGCAGTCCTGGTCTTGGAGTTGAGGGGGCAGTTTCGGAATTTGTGCACGCACGCCCTGTTCCTCAGTCAATTTCTATCCTATGAGGAAATACATGTTCTGCCATTTGAAACTTTGTTTCACGGTGCCGCACCACGACAGGCAGCCTTTGTCCCCCGTCTTTTCTGCAAGAGAGAGAGAGAGAGAGAGAGAGAGCAAGAAGACGGTTCTTTTTCTGTCAGGTCGAAATTACGGAGTTTCTTTCCCTTTTTTTTACCACTAAAACGGAGATAATTCAGAAACTGGCATCGAAGAATTCGGAAGTTCCAAAATTGCCATCGTATTACCTTTCAAACTGGTGCCCTATCTCTCTGCAGCCTGTGTGCACAGTTAGTCGTGCATATGAACTCTCAAGTTCGAGGAACTTCATACTAATAGGAGAGATAGAGAAGAGAAGAAAAGACGGGGGACAAAGGCTGCCTATCGTGGTGCGGGACCGTGAAACAAAGTTTCGAATGGCAGAACATGTATTTCCTCATAGGATAGAAATTGACTGAGGAACAGGGCGTGCGTGCACAAATTCCGAAACTGCCCCCTCAACTCCAAGACCAAGACTGCAGCCATTTCAGTGATTTGAGTCTGAAAATTTTGTTCAGCGATGATTCTACCCGGCAAACTCGAGAGACCCGGGCATAGTCCAGACTCAGCACGGAACTTGCAGACTCACAGTCGAAAAACCAGCAAAGGACCACAGAGTCACACTTGAGAAAAAGGGTAGAACCTTGCGGGAGCAGACTCAACGACTCCCGGGGTTCAGGAGCCAGTACTCAGTAACCCTTACAGGTTCAGACCACAGCACTCAGCAAGCCTCAAGTTTAGTTTCGAGCTCAAGAATCTTGTCTGCAGACACAACACATTTGAAGGAAGTATCTCAGAAGAACGCAAGCGCCATCAGCGGACGCAGCGTCTTAGGGACTCAGTCTGCTGTCCACAGTAAACTTGGTGGACCAGCAAAACAGATAGCAGCGGGGAACAGCAACAGCAAGCTCGGGGCTCAACCTGCTGGTCTCAGCGGTCTAAAAAAACAATCTGCAGACCCCGCGGACCGAGGTAACGGACTCACTAAGGCCTCTGGACTCAGGAACGAGTGTGAGCTGAGACTTGAGCAGACTCGGACTCGGTAAAAACAGCACCAATTTATTAGTGGGCGACACAGTTAAGTCTGCCAACTTGGACTAAGTAATAACGGCAGCAGCTCGTAATTTCAGAACAAAGGAACGGGATTGCAAACGCAAAAAGTCTTGAGGAAGCACACTCAGCTTAGCAGACTTAAGATTCAGTGTCCATGGACTCATTTCGATACTCACAGGCTCGGTGGAGAATATCAGCGGCATTCGGTCTACTATTAGCAGAACTTTGAGGAGAGCTTTGATTCCTAAAAGCGGAAATTGTTGCCGACGCTGCAGGTCGAGGAGAGGAACTAACTGGGGAAATGAGAGGAGAATGGTTGGCACTAAGACAAGGACCAGTCCTGTTTCAGAGGTTCCATGCGTGGTCTGACAGACTTTGATGTGATGGAGGTGATAGTCGAAGAAAAACAGTTCCAGCAATGCTGCTCATTCTTTCTCACATCTTGTCGTTGTTCAACTTTTCACCTCGGTTTGTCAGGACTGACTAGTTGTTTGCAGGTTGCAGGAGCCGGGAAACAGCTCTCCCGTAGGTGACAGACACGGGGAGATTTCAGAGCTAGTTTCGTGTGCCGGCAGATAACTTCACCCGGTCGACAGTGGTGCCGTTGCCGGGGAAGGCTGCCTCTCGGGACTTCGGCCCGCCTGTAACCGCAGAGGCAAGGTGGTTGTTAGTGATCAAGGCATCCAGCTTCATTATTCACTTCGGTGCTGTTCCTCTTGGGAATGTGAAGGAGCGTTGAGGAGAGAGTGCGGCAACGACTAGCAGCCCGACCCTCTCGACACTGGTGAGATAGTGATTATTGCATTACAACATTTCGGTTCTTATGGGCTTCCTCTTGCATGATCTTGCGATTGAGCGTGATTCTCGTTTGATTTCCCTACCCTTTGACAATCCACCTGATTTGGATCTCTTTGAGAGAAAACTGTGAGCAGGGGATGTACTGGAGGGATTGAAGGGGAAGGGAGAAGCGCCCCAGATTGCAAGGAGCTGGGCGGGACTAGATAGACTAGAGGATCGTGATGGATAGCTGGGGGGTTGGATACACCGCACGAGTCAGGGTGAGACCATGCCTGAGGTGGGCCGAGTATAGGCATGGATAGGAGTGAGGATGCGCGAGCAAGACACCATCACTTCGTTCGCGTGTGACTTCAGTCCACCCTGAGACGCATGAGTTGGCCAGCTCGTGTCCAGGTCACTGCGGAGATGGTAAGCCAGCGACGATGGTACTTTGGACAATCCTCCTTCTCGACATGAGGGTAGGGAGAGAT